AAGCACATTGATATGAGGTTTCACAAAGTGAGAGTCAATAGCTACTAGGGAGGTGATACTGGAACAAGTGCATACTCTTGATGATGCAGCTGACGTGTTGACAAAGTTAGTTCCTTCAAACAGGTTCAAGCATTGCTTGAACTTGGTTAATATTTCTCAATGTTGAGAAAGGTGGCATCCCCAACCTATGAGTTCACGGTGGAGACAAATTATGATACTTCTTCAGAGTGTTGAATTATTTGCTAAGGTGGAGATTGTTGAGAATAATGAGTGGCTCATATTGACAAGGCCCTACTAACTTTAATGTGAATAATGTCTATTTAGTTTTACTTTTAAATATGGATGTGTTTCCCGTCAAAAGTCAATGGAGCAATTTATCATTACTACTATTTGATTGTCGAGGTTGAATAATAGGTTGGGGGATAGGAGGAATACCCAGTGGTAGGGAACGGGTACATTGAGGGTTTTCAATATACATATGGACTATGGTAAAGGAGTTTTACCAAGATTGGGTAAACTTGAAAGTTTACCAAGAATTGATGTATCAGATTTACTAAGACTATGTCTCCTAGTTGGACTAGGATTAGGGATATAAACTGGTGCCTATAAATATGTTGTAACACTTTGGATTCTAATAGAGCAATAATAAAGAAAAGTCATTCTTGTGGATGTAGGTTGAGATTTATACTGGTACAAGAGCCGATGGTTGACGATTCTAGGTGAACTCTCGGAGAAGAAACGGTGTAGCATGCTAGTATTAATGCTGGCTCTTAAGAAAAGTGATTGGTTTGTGGTATTAAAGTAAAGGAAACGCAACTCGAGAAAAAGTGCAGGATGTGGGCTTGGGCACAAGGGCTTTTGGCAGAATGACAATGTAGTGACTCATAAAGAGCAGTAAAAGTTTGGTTCTTGGAAGAGCGAACTCTTCTAAAGAATAATTGGGACACGGTGCTTGTAGTAGAGAGTGGTGAATCAAACTCAAAGGGGAACAAATCCCGGTGTGGTTCACAAAAATGAAGGGGAGATTGTTTGGTTATTACATGTGTGGGGAATCATTCATCGGATAGAAAAAGAAATAAAAGTGTCCTAATATACTATGAATGGACTTACCACCTATAGGTTTAAGCTTTTAGGTGGATATAAGTTTCAGACATGTATATTGGGTCTTGGATCACTTGGCTTCCAGTCTCCCAACAAGTTCCAACCCAGTGTTTTCACTTCATCCCAATTTAGTATTGTGGTTTTTAGCACGGTTCAGTGATCGGTTCAATTCCAATTCTTCTTAGTTTACCTTATTTTCGATTGTTGTGGTTTAATTTGTTGTTGAATGTGGTTTGTTGTGGTATTGTTGGTTGTGTTCATTTTTGCCGATATTGCTAATGGGCTTGTGTTTGTTCTTTGCAATCATCATGTTATTTTCCTCTATGTTGAGGTGATTGTCGTTTTCTATTAATGTGGTCGTTCATTCATTCTCTAGAAAACCAAAGGGATGTCTTAGACTTCACAAAAGCAACCTTTGTGAATTGCTGCTCAGGGAGAGGAGTGTGGTAGTGTATGTCAACTAAAGACGTCTTTGAATGATTTGAAATAGTCACGTAGAACTTGGTTCTATCATCCTTATTGTCTACGTGGAAATATTGTAATCAACTCAGTGATTTTCTCACCCAACCATTGGTGCGGTCCACCTATAGAAGCTTTAATTCCGAGCTGGGCATTTTTTATATCTATGCTCCAATTTGTGGGGGATGTTAGAGTGTTATTTTCCTATTGGTCTACTTTCCTATTATGTCACATGTTTATTGTTCTACTTTCCTATTATGTGGTTTTCCTATTACATTCTACTTTTTTAATATTGTAATTGCCTTCAATATCAATCTAATATAAATAGGTGATAGGGTGTTGGCAACATATACCTACACAAAATATTGCTTCACACCTCTTTCTTCCTTTCTTCTTCTTCTCTTTCTTTTTATTAACCCTAACATATAAGTATTCAAATTTCAAGTTTTACCAAATCCCGTGAAGAATCAAAGGATTTTAAGTCAAAAAATTCAATTACCAAATTGGGCTGAATTTTAGCACACTACATATTCACATAGGCCAGTAGGTGGACTCCTACAAGATATTTGGTACTAAAGTCAAATCCAAGATTGGTTCAATACTCTGTAATATATATGGTAAGGTGAAACACAGCAAAGGAAGAATTACAATATGTATTCATCATCACAGCAAAATGGCATCTTGGCTTTTGAAGGCCAATCATATTAAAGGACATTTTAGTTATGCAAGCATATTTTATTTGTACAAAAAGGGGTGTATGGAGGACCGCTGCACAATTTTCTTGCCTTGCTTCACTCTTCTTTTTATTTAAAACAATGGAATAAAGCTTTGTTGAATTGCATTCTCAGTTTTTTATGTAAAGAAGATCTCCCTTCTTTAATCTCTTAGGCACCTTATTGTGAAATATTTAACTTGTTAAGAAAAATAAGAATAATTTTCTATGATGAAAGCTGCTTAGTATAGTGGAAAAATGAAATATACCAGGTCCATGAAAACAAATTGGGCACCATCTTTGTACGTGTATTGCTTTGTTTCCTTGAATATATCAGCCTCGTCGATCTGGAGAAACAGTAGCCAATCAAATGGGATTAAAGATACAGCAAAATCATATAGTCAGCCTGCAGGATGAGTATTTCCTGTTGATTAGATGAAAGCATGTGTGTGTGGCTGGATTCAACATGTGAGATTTTATATCATTGAATCATATTACTCATCAATGATTGTCAAAACAAAAATAAATTCACTGGTTATTGCCTAGCCACCGAAGCATCTATATAATCAGCAATAATTGTAATAGTACAAAGAAATTTTATGTTCAAGAAATCAAGGGCAAATTGATTTCCTGTTCCACTAGAAAGATTATTATATAGAGCCAGTCTAAGCAAACTTGACCAGTGACCAACAAAGTTTATGTAATCAATAGGAGATAGGACAACAAAAACTCTATTTAACAAGTCCAGGCACGCAGCTGTGACAAAATGAGGAGAAATTCCACCCAAAAATATGTCATCTAATCATTAAAATATCAGAAGTAGTGCTCATTTTGTTATCGCACCAAATCCGTAATACTTACTATCCTATCATGCCATAAATAGTTTCAGCTCATAACATAGAATGGTTTACCGAAAAACTTATTACTGAAAATCAAATATGGTTCTGTTAATACATGTTACATATGGAACCAAATATCCTACAACTGAACACCAATTACAATTCAAAATCTACAACAGGACACAATATTATTGATTCTCCGAAGGGAGTCAATCTTTGACCCAAGTTTTCTGGTTGAGTTGAGAAGAAACTACTTGCTAATACCTTAGGTACATAATGAATGCCACGCATATAGAGTACATGTCATGAATACTGGCTGCCAATAACTTCTTCGAATCAAAATTTTACGTAGTGGAAAACAGTGACAAAAGAATAAAGAATGCAAGAACATCACACATACAACATTTAATACCTTACTTCCAGCTCGGAAAGTTTTCTCAACCGTGTTTCCTGTCACATAATTACGCAGTGTGGTTCTCACATATGCAGCTCCTTTACCAGGTTTCACATGAAGAAACTCTACGGAAGGCCACCATACAAATTCATATGTCAAAAGAAGAAAGGAAAGAAAATTAGAGACCCCACTCTGAATAATGCAAAGCATACCTGCAACTGCATCTTAAATTTTAATGGCACTGACCAATGGCCTGAGAAGATCTCAATCTACATGATACCATCCATGAAAATAAGAAAAATTATGGCAATGTGGGCAATTCATTATTTTTGTGCATACCAACTGCCTTTGAATGTTTATTTTGATTACGATTCACAGGTAAAACCATGTCTCAAAATTTCATGCACTCCCAAGCTAGTTACCCTTTCTAGGCTAGAACTAAACAAAGTGTGACACATTATGCACTGCATTTGCATGAAAGAATTCAGTTAATTGTGGGAAACCATTAGTGTGCCTTTTAGATGTTCAGTAGAATTTGAATCATCTCCTTGTACTCATGATATCATTTCAAGTAAAACTGTTATCCAGAGAGTTGGAAATAAAGTAATGGTTTTTGTATTTATAATGTCCAGATCATTAGAAGCAATCTTCACTCGCACAAGGATATCCTCCCAAAAACCTCTGCTACAACACAACCTGACAATTAGTTTACAAAGATTTCGAGTAGTGCGGGATAGGCTTACCATCAGAATGCTATGAAATAGGTTACTCGACGGAGACAAGAATGAGTGAATCTAGTTCCAGAAGAGTAATAGTCGACTTTCCAGTATTTGCTGGTATTTGAAATTTAAGGACTTTTTGACATGACAGACCTCAGAATATTTTGACTAAATTGTGGATGAGTACCATTTCCTTTAATGGAAGCATCTACAATGAATGATATTTTACCTTGACAGGCAGTGAAAAGGGATGTTAACAGTCAAGGGGAAGTTCAAACATGCCCTAGGAAATTTTTAGTTCTCGAGACATTGACCGATCAAAACCGAAAATTCAAGATTTCAGCCTGTGCATTGTATTCAAGATCATTTTGAATTAATTAAAACAGCACTATATTGTTGGAAGGGGGAAAAAGAAAAGAAAGAAAAGAGAAAAAAACACTCCTTTTCTTGTATCAAAATAAAAGACACACGTCGCTGTAAGGATTAGTTTCACACCTTGTCCCACCTAAAAAAACACCTTTTTTTTTTTGTATCAAAATAGAAGAGACACATTCCTATAAGAATTGGTTTCACACATTCTCCCACCCACAACACTGTTAAATGGCACCACAGAGTGATGCGCCACCAAATTGAAGAAAGCGCGAAGTAGAAAATGCAAATTCAAAGCAATATCTCCAAGCATTACATTCTTCTACACACCAGCGGAAATGTAATTGAGTGGTAGTACAATCAAGTGAGTGGTACCTACAACTCTCCAAGGGGCTCCGTCTACCTCAATGTTGGTGCCCACCTTAATATCGTTGCTTGAGAACGCAAATATTTCTGAAAATTCGTGAGTAAATAAAACAAAACAAAACAAAATTCACTGACAAAATATGAGTGAAAAATAATCGTAATATTCTACTTGGGAATCTTCTGGGGCAGGGAGTTCCAGGAAAAGCTCGCACTGGGAGAATGCAGAGCTTCGACAATGATGAAAGAGATGAGGATGGTGGACGTAAGCAACGGCACGGAGTCTGTCCCAAGTTGGCGATTCCCACCATGGCTGGTGATAGGTATGTCTCAAAACGTTTCCTCCGCAACCTCTTCGCCCAGAGCGCAGAGGATCAAACCACTTAGATAAGGAGCAAAATGAGGTGAACCTAACCACAGTGCGTTTGAGTTTTGGCAGGGCTTCGTCTCTCTCTCTTTCCCCAACTCTCTATTTTAGAGCAGTATCTGAATTTAATTGCTTATATCCAATTAACAGTTCTCATTTTAATTTTAGAGGGATAACTACCAAACTCCAACAGCCTCTACTTAAAATAAAAAATCTAATTTGAACCTCTTCAGTATGTCTAGCCTACTTTTATCTTATTTTTAATAATTAAAAAATGTCAGGTTTATATTTTTATTAAATGCTCTTCATTATAATATTTTTTTTATTAGAAAAGATGACTCATTGGAGTTATTTAAAAAATGCCACTTTATTTCAAATTTTTATAATAAAAAAGTTTTATATTTTAAAAAAAAATTCTCTAAAATAAAAAAATATTATTAGAGATGTTCTTATTAGGATATTTGTTTTGATTGAATGATATTAGAAACCTTAAAGATTCCCAAATAATATTTTGAAAGATTAAATTTGTCACATTATACCCTCAATAAGTTAAAATATAATAATATCATCCAAAAATAAATTTATTTTTTTTGGACAATTATTTTTTGTATCTATTATATTATTCTATTTCTATACACAATTATATACATAATACTTAATTTTAAATATCTTAAATACAAATTTTGTACTTAATTACCTTAACAGAGTACATTGCTATATTTTTGTTTGATTGAGGATTTTCAGATGCAATTGAAAATACAAAAATTTTAATGTGCATGACAAGTTCTAAGCCTAGAGGTTAAAGAGTCAAAACAATAGAATTTGTCATTCTGTCAGTCATATGAGCCAATATCTTTCTTTGCTATTTCATATCTCTTATCCTCCCTCTTTTATTTTTGCTGCCTTCCAGTCACGCATAATTCACTGACTTCAGGCAACACACAGACCCACAGGACCACACTAGTTACTATGTGTACACACATATGAATGCACCCAACAATTACTACAAGCTAATACACAACCTACAACCATCACCAGCCACCAAGCGCGCACACACAAACAAAAATGTATGCATTCCTTTCGCCTTCTCATGAATTTGATGTTGAATTCAAAAGACTTGTCTTTGTGGTTTGGATTTTGATTTTAGGTGATGGTAAGGGTGGCAAGAATTAAGTTTGAGGAGAGAAAAAGAAAAAAGAAAATGGCATAGCTAATTTGGGTTTAGGGTTAGGGATTACAACAGAGGTGGTGGAGGATTTAAAGGATTGCGAGTTATGATGGTTGGGAGGTTTAGTGGCTTTAGGGGTTGGTTGTTGGTGTATAATAGTGGTGGTTGGTGGTTAGGTGGGAGAATGAAGGAGGGTTAGCAGCGTGGGGCAAGGAAGACATAGGGAATTGTGAAGATGGTGTTGGGAGAAAATCTCTTACAAAATTTTCTCTCTCTAAAAGAAACTTTCTTTCTCTAAACGACAATTTCTCACTCTAAGGCAACCGGAGAAGAGAGAGGAGAAAGGACAAACTCACATTCCTTGCTCAGCATCGATACCAATGGCAACAACTACCTCCTTTATGGAGGAGGATCCTACAAATGACCAAGAGAGGTCACTAAAGTAGGATGACCACATCTAGCATAACACCAAAAAAGTCAAAGAGAAGTATGACACCTAGAGTCAAGAAGGAAAAGTCCTAGACTAAATCGGAGATCCACTCATAGACATTATAAAGAGCAGAGATCTATCTCAAAATTCTCCCCAAAATGTGAAGTGCTTAACCAAGCCTAGGAACTATAAATCGTCCTTGGAGAGAGTTCCTTCATCTACTTTGAATTGAGCCAGTATGAAGATTTGATAAGGAGAAGACAGAGGACCAAAAAAGAGACACAAATATGAAATATACAATGGTAATCGATACCTAAGATGAGATGTGGTCTAACATCATCCTCTCTAAGAAGACGATCCAACGAATCAAAAGCAAATGGAAGAACAATCTAATTGTCAAACTTCTAGGGCGAACAATAAGCTTTAAAAAGATGTGCACCAGAGTAAGAAATATCTGGGGGGTTGCAAGGTGACTTTGAGATTGTTGATCTTGACTATGGCTATTATCTGTTCAAATTCTAACTCGCAAAAAATAGACACAAGGTAGCCATTGGAGGTCCCTGGATTATAATGAATCACTACCTTAAAGTCAGATTTTGCTCTTTCTAAAGCCCAAAATCTATCTACAACTCTATGGGTTAGGCTTCCTGAACTACCAGTGGAGTATTACGAAGAGAAAACCATGTTTAAAATTGCAAAAGCTTTGGGCAAACCTATCAAAATCGATATCTGAACAGCCACAGCATGTAGAGGTAAATTTGTAAGAGTTTACATGGAGAGGGATTTGACTAAACCCCTAATTTCACACTATAGATTAGTTGGAAAACTTTTTCTGGGTAGAATATGAATGTCTCCCTTCGATTTGCTTCGTGTGTGGGAGGATTGGTCATTTTACGGCACACTGTCCTTACTCTCCGTCACCTGAGAAATGTTGCCCCACAAAGCAACCTAAGAGGGGGTGAATTAGGTTTTTTAATTGTTGCCCAATTTAAAATCTCAATTTCACTATTTGTGAAATTGATAAATATGGATTACTAGATGTTGGTTAGATAAAAAGTGAGTGATAGTGTGTAAATAAGCAATAAACACAATTCGAAGCAAAGAGATAAGGAGAAGGCAAACACAAGAATTTATAGAAGTTTGGTCGCAACTCTTGGCCTACGTCCTGTCTTCCTTCTCCCTTTGGAGGTTCCCTTTTTCTATTTCACTTGAACTCTTCAATGGGTGAGATCAAAACCCTTACACTTTTCTTCTTTGAGTACAAGATGATATGCCTCACTATAGTATGTCATTTAGGAAGACAACAATCAATCATCTCTCTTGCTTTACAAAGATTCTTCTTATGATTAGAGTCATTATCACTATCACTCCACATGGCCTTCATTTTATCTTCTTATCCTTATTTTTTGTCTTCTTCAACATCGGACAATTTTGCTAGATATGCCTCGGTTTGTTGCATTCATAGCAAATTACACTAGTTCTACTTGAGTTTTCTCCTCTCTTGTAGGGACCTTGATTCTTAAGGATCTTTTTGAATCTCCTTGTCATGAAAGCAAATTCTTCATCACTTTCTTCCTCTTCTTCATCATTGTTCTCATTACTTGTCTTGGTGGATTTGAAAGTAATATTCTTCTTTTCTTTTTTTTTTTCTAGCTCTTCATTCTTTTTTATATTTATCTCATATGTTATGAGAGATCCAAGTAGTTCTTCTAGTGGAAGAGGCTTGAGGTCTTTTGTTTCAATAATGACAGTGACTTTGGCATCCCAAGATCTTGGAAGACATCAAAATTTTTTTCTTACAAGTTCCTAATGGGCATAAGATTAATCGATAGATTTAAGAGCAATCACATTATTAGTAAAATGTGTAAACATTTATGATATGCTTTATTGGGGTTCCTTCCTAAAAATTTCATAGTCATGCACAAGCATATTAATCTTTGATTCCTTAACTCTATTAGTTCCCTCATATGTGACCTCTAATATATGTCATACTTGTCTGGCGATCTCACAGGTGGATAGTCTATTAAATTCTCCTCTATCTAATGCACAATACAATGTATTCATAGTCTTAGCATTTAAAGAGTGTACATTCTTTTGATCACTACTTCAATCCTTTTTCTCCGAGGTGGGTTTTGTGTATCCATCTTCAATAATATCCCATAACCCATCATCTTGCGACATGATATAAATTTTCATCCTAGCTTTCCAATAAGGTTAGTCATTTCCATTAAAAGAATGGAGTCTAGTAATGGATTAGCCCTCTCCAATGTTTCCTCCTAGTGTTGCCATTACCTTTTAACTGTAATTATAGTTATACAAGAATCTTAGAGCCCTTACTTTGATACCAATTGTTGGCCCGAAAAGCAACCTAAGAGGGGGTGAATTAGGTTTTCTAATTGTTGCCAAATTTAAAATCTCAATTTCACTATTTGTGAAATTGATAAATATGGATTATTAAATATTCGTTAGATAGAAAGAGAGTGATAGTGTGTGAATAAGCAATAAACACAATTCAAAGTAAAGAGATAAGGAGAAGACAAACACAAGAATGTATAGAAGTTCGGCCCCAACTCTTGGCCTACGTCCTGTCTTTCGTCTACCCTTGGAGGTTCCCTTTTTCTCTTTCACTTGAACTTTTCAATGGGTGAGATCAAAACCCTTACACTTTTCTTCCTTGAGTACAAGATGATATACCTCACTATAGTATGTCACTCAAGCAGACAACAATCAATCATCTCTCTTGTTTTACAAAGATTCTCTCTCAAATCAAGAACAGAAGCAAGAAGAAGAAATTGAACACTTTAAATCTCTTTACAATGAAATAAATCACTCAAGAATGATTAAACTCTCTTTGGCTTCTAATGTGTTTGAAGTCTATCGTTTCTCCATCCGGCATGCCAAAATCATGTAGAGGCTTTTAGTTCACCTTGTAGGGCAAAGTACCAGGAGCTTATAGACGCTCCGCTTCAGCCTACTACCTGCCTCTTCAGCATCCGGCATGTCGGATGACAGTTTATCTGTCATCTATGTTCATTATTCCTTTTGTGTTCCTTTCTTCATTACCTTCTTGCACACTACACATCTAAATTACATGTATAGATCATAATGTAGATGTTTTAATCATCATCAAAACCATGCTTAGACAAGCAATGAGTCACCATTCTCCCCTTTTTTGATAATGAAAAAACATCTGCAATTCAAAATCATATATCATTCAACAATCTTAACACTATTTTCACATTCATTTATGCATACATCTAAAAGTATTTTGAAGTCATGAAGTGAGGTTCCCCCTTAACTTATGCACCTATCAAATTCGTTTTTCTCACAATATGTTTTGAAAGAATTTTTTTTGAGTACTAAACATGTGTAAGTGTGTATCTCCTTTGAAGGTGTAATATCAAACAATGATATATTTTGAT